ACGCTTGACAATATGAAGATCCTTCTACTCCTTGGGATGGTATTTTTGTCAACTCAACAGATCCCCCATACCTTTATGATATCCTGGTAGTAGCACAACTTGGGTATTTTCATTGGAATGTAACTTGAATAAATGGGAAAAAACCATCATATTGGGTTGTATAATGAATCCTATTACTCACAAGATCAGACCTATACCTGGTCTCATCTTCTCCCATTACATCCTCTTCTTTTTCATTCTAGGTACTAAACCCCTTGTTTTAACATCTCCAGCTTTGTGCATGTACTGCTGGCACCTCTGCTAACTCAGCCCACATCATACCTTTCATCCCAGTCAAAATTTGGCTGCAGAAATACCTGGGGTTTTGCCCACATCATCTCTCTTTCTCATTTCCTTCTGCATGTTTTTCATATGAGCTCTACTCTTCTGAACATATTGTATCACCTTTTGACAGTTTAATGACAGTCCAAACATCCCCGTGTTTATTCCTGCTCCTCCCAATTGCTTCCACCTAATTATATTTTCACACTGAAAGTCAGTCATCACAAAACCTTACTGCTGTTGCATGACCCTACTCACCCTCACCCTTTTCTTCTGAGGGCTCTTCCATGCTATGTGTTCATAACCAGCGCCACAAAATAAGCTCCACATAGCACAGATCATGTAATCTTTTTTTGCACTGTAATAGGTAACAGCACACATCTAGTTGCGCATGAGCTTCCAGAAGGTACAGGCAAAATGAGAGATCCTTAAGGATAGGAAACTGTCTTACTTGCTTTGACCACTCCATGCCCTATGGACACTTTAAAAAACTGTAAAATAAATTACAACTAGGGGTTGAGATTAAACTGGCTATGCCTATGAGGTTAGAAAAATAATAATGGGCTTCTATGGGTCAACATGAAATCTTAGTATATCTCCAGATAATCTGTTCGAGGATTATCCAAATTCTGTAAAAAAAATAGTTGATAGGCACTTCTGATTCAATATGAGCTCATGCATGTTACCTTGTTTGTACTTCTGAACAGCATTTAATGGTAACTTCTGCTTAGAAACACCTGCAGACAGTAACTCCATGGGAAAATGGATTGCTTGAATAAGCAGCTTGCAGCCATACAGAACAGAACTACACATGGCTGCAATAGTGTGTTGGTGCTAGGTAAAAATAAATTCTTCCAACCCTTCAATTTAGCAACTGCCCGAGGACTCCCTGTCAAGCACTGGCAGTAATTCGTGATGCTGTACAAATAGGATGTAAAACCTTGGAAGCACGATAGCTGGAAAATGCCTAAAGTAGCTGTCAGTTGGGGCTTATGGAAATATTTTAAAATAAGACTTTTGCTTGTGGCAGACTGTAACACAGATTCATCCACTTCCTTTGGGCTGAGAAGTGAACGGCCTTTTCCCAAAAAAAGAATCCTCTTGTATCCTTTCAGCCCTTTATTTAACAGTTTCTGAAATACTATCCTCTCTTCCATGTTAGACTAAGATATTCATAGTTAATTACAGGCAAGCCAAGTGTGGGTTTAAAATTGCTGTAGAGCTGACAGTGAGACAAAAGCAGTGCAGCCCGATGTCTATTCACACTCCCACTTGCTTCCTGTAGCATTTCAGTTGCTTTGTTTTGAGAAATTATGCAAGCCCCAAGATTCCTTCTGTTTCTTACACACAAAGTGATGTGCTGGGTGACGAAGACTCAGACCTTTTTGCACAGTTGGGGCACACTCCTGTGGGGTTGTCTTTGCCCCACTCCCTCATGGCAATGCTGCCTCTCCAAGCTCCATGCTTTTCCCACTCTAGATAATCCTGTGTCTTTTTCATAATTCTTTGTTTCCCTGTGACTGTTGCCTCACTTCCCAGAAGCCTTATTTTCAGCAGAGACAGAGGCTGTGCCACTCAGGCACTGAAAGCATGTGGGAGGGAGAAAGGGTCAAGCATGGCAAAGGAAGAGGGGGTCCTCACCACCTAAGTTTGGTTGGCAGTGAGGTGGGATGGCAGCTGTGCTCCAGAAGGCACCCCAGTCATTTAGAATGGTGGAAATAGAAAGGTGAGATAAATTAGACACTACTTTGGTCCCAGTCCTCTCCTGCTGTTGCTGAGCCTTTGCATACACAGAGCAAAAGAAACCACCCTGCCCTGGGATTTGTCTGGGAAGAGGTGTGTCTTTGCACTATCACCAGACTATATCATCATGCATTTTGCAATGTGTTTGTACACTGTCCTCAGCTGTTCCATGTTACACCCTAGCACTGCAGACCCTACGGTGCTGAGAAGGTGGAGATTGGGGGAGAGTTCACATACAGCATATGTAATCCCAAGAGTATCATCTTTGTTGAGAATCTGAGCATCCACTAAGATGGGTAAAATGATGGAAGTCAATAAAATGAGCAATATGCCCCAATACTAGAGTCTAAATGCTCAAGTTTAATGTTGCTGACCAAAGTATCTTAACAAAAAGTTAAAGTGAAAGCAAACTGAGGACTTTTACCAATAGGAACAAAGAAATACTATTTAAAAAAAGAGACTAATATTACTTACGGTATAGTACCCTTTACATGACTTTTTTTTCCCCTGTTAACATAATGAATTGGTTTATATATCAGGGACTTCCATTACTCATAGGAAAACAAAATGTACTGGGGAGACTGAGGGTGTGTTGTGATACTTTGTGAATTCCAGGGATGGAGGTTCCACTCAGCGAAAGATCAGAGTGTTTACAAAAATCTTCCAACCTGCAGCTCAGCAGCTGACTTTCTGATCCGGCTTTGTGCTTGGGGTCTTTTTTGTGTTTGGTTGCTCTTTTTCCCTCTGAGCCAGTTCACTATCTTATAGTAATATTGTTAGGCAACTCATTAAACATGGGTCTGCACCATACAGACACATCATGCTGCACAGATACTTGCAGTTTACCTTTGAAATAGCCTTGCATTAGAATGGAGCACAACTCAAATTGCAGTTTGTACAGACCTTGTGACTGAAGGATCAAAAGATTAAATCTTGTCTGTCATCCTGTGTATATGTGGGTGAAGAGGCATTCTGTCTGTACAAAGAGCTATCATAAGCTAGTTGCCTTGCATGCAGTATCCAATAAGTAGCCTTCTGATTGTAGAAGAAAATAATTGTTGGGGCCCAGGTGAAATATATGCCTCATTCTTTCCTTTCTTCTTTGTAGCTGTCCCACTTGCCTCTGAGTTGGCCGTGGAAATTTTGGAAAAAGGAGAAGTGAGATTCTGGTTGCAAGCTGAAAATCTGTCTGGCAATGCAAAGGCAAACTTTGTATTTAATGATAAGGAGATTTTCAATGGAGAGGTAAGCCCCTTCCTTGCTTACATGCATTTGCATTTTTATGAGTATCAATGAGTATTAGTGTCTCTGTCTCCAATAAACTTCTAACCTATGTTCCACACTGATGCCTTTTCATGAGAAATAACATGTAATTGAAAGCATAATTAGAAAGATTTTGTCCATAGTTCTGGGATCCAGGTGAATTCTACTGGATGCAGTTTATATAGGGGAGATAACTGCCCTTTCTTGCCACCTTTGTGAGTACCACATGTTCTGTTAACTAGTGGGGACCATAGCTGTTCCTGTAATAAGGTAGTCCCAGGTAAGCTGCTACTATGATTTTCAAGGAATCACTGGAGTAGCCCAGATTCATCCTATCTCCTTCATCTGTGGCCCTAGAAGACCCTTACGCTTGGTTCTCATCTCTCTTTGCTGTTTGGAGGAATTTAATACACCATGGAAAAATTCCCAAGTTGTTGTTTCCAGCAGCAGAACATGTTGCTCCCAAAGACATGACATGGCATGCTTTTGTTGCAACACTGTCTGGTAGAAGGCAAAGAGGGAGCATCCTAGACAAAACTTACAAAATACAATCATCCTCAAAGAAAATGTTATTCTGAAGAGATGCGAATCTAAACCTTTGCAATGAAAGAGAACACAGTACTCACCTTACAAGAGACATGTCACATGCTTCTACTGCGTCAGTAAATAGGCCTCACCTTTAACAGATTTATTAAGTTGGAGCTGGAGATAGTGGGAATCTGAATAAGTGGGAATCTGAATAAAGAAAACAGAATGTCACCTAAAGATAGCCATATAACACTTCACAAATATTTTCTGTCTCTGATATGCATTAATTGTTCTTTTACTTCCCACTGCTGAAGAAATATAAAATGAAGGTGGACCAGAAGACTGGCCTTGTTGAAATGATTATGGATAAACTTGAAGACAAGGATGAAGGCACTTACACTTTCCAACTGCAGGATGGAAAAGCAACCAATCAATCTAGCCTCGTCCTCATTGGTGATGGTAGGCTAATGTGTATTACTCAGTGGGCTGGAAAAAATTATACTGGGGTTACTGCAGTCATCATCTTCACTTTTCACTGTTTTCAGTACCAACAGAAGTTCCAGGTTTTTCATGTCACAGTTTTGCCTGCCTCATACAGGACAGGTCATGTGTGTGTGAACTCCAATTTTTTTTAGTGATGAGAGCAAATGGAACTGTTACAGAAATGTAAACTATTGCAGTATGTCATGGTTTGCTTTTCTATGGGTGGAATTAAAAATTCGAATGTAAAAAGTCCATTCAGCTGGGAATAGTAGCTGCATCTCTTAGAGCTCAAGCAGCCTGCTGACTCTGCTGCCACTCATTTGCCTTCCTACCAGGAGCAGAAAGCAGCTGTATGATTGGGGATTGCATATCATCAGACATGACACATAGAACTCCTGGTGACTGCAAGCAGCTAGAAAACTTGAGTTAGCTGTAATCAGCTTCTGACCCTCTGAAATGTTCAGTGAAAACCTGACCCTATAGCCAGATTCTTATTGACATCCAAGGGACAGAGTTGCACTTAACTGTTACAGTGATGTTCAGCATCATACAAATGGCACATGATGTTTGACTCTGTGTTTCTTCCTGGTTTTGATTCCTAGTATTCAAGAAGTTGCGGGATGAAGCAGATTTCCAGAGAAAAGAGTGGCACAGAAAACAAGGTAATAATATGAATATTTGTAAGAATCACATACATGTTAATCTCTTAAGAGTTTGTTTATATTTATATATGTTAATTTGAAATAGATGGGGTTTGTTTTGCTACATGGTTACGTACCTTCTGAAGGAGAAATAGGAAAAATAAAACCACACATAATATAACAGTATTCTTGTCAAGTAAAACACGTGTCTTTGGTTTTGTATCATGAATACCATTGATGTGACCTTTAAAAATATATATGTAATTTTAAACAGGTCCTCATTTTGTGGATAAACTGGGATGGGAAGTTACTGATGAGTGTAATGTGATGTTGAAATGTAAGGTAAGAGGCAAGGAAAACACTGAGTACTATATTCAAAGCACTTTGACCTACCACTACTTACATGTTGAGGGTGCAAAGGGACTAAAGACATGCCCTTTGCATTTGTACTCCCACCTGCATGTTGGATAGGGACAGAGATTCTGAAGGTTAATCATACTGGGGTGACAGCTCATTGCATGTAACAAACTGTGTTGGAAAATATCTTGAACTTTTTTCTTCAGGTCTGTCAGCCACCCACTTAGGGAAAGGCACCTGAATAGAAATGAGAAGTCTTTGTAAATCCTGGGACTTTCTCATTTTTGGCCTGTTTATGTGTGTAGAAATCCCTTAGTCATGATCCACTTGTTCCCTGGGCTCCTTTTCTCTCTGTTTTCATCTGATACATTTTCCTTCTTGCTTCCCTCATTTTAAAATAGAGGCCTGCAAAAACTCACTGTGATCAAGTTGTAAAGCTTGCCATTCTTTTATGAGAGACCTGAACATGCTAACCCATGTGACATCAAGCTCTCCCGCTCGAATGCAAAGAATAATTATGATGTGGTTTTCATCCATCTTAGGTGGCTAATATTAAGAAGGAAACACACATTGTATGGTACAAAGATGACAGGGAGATAATGGTAGATGAAGAACATGACTTTAAGGATGGCGTGTGTACTCTGCTGATATCAGAGGTGAGTGACTGTCCTCGTTAGACCTCAGCTCAAGTTAGTGTTGTGAATTCAGATGAATGATATGATTTAATCTGATAATCCAGCAGAACAATCAAAAGAGGAAGTGGGTTTTAAAAATGGAAAAAGTCACAAGGCATCTGTGTTTTAGCTAAAGCAAATGTCTGTCTGTAACTGCTTGTTTGGGTTTTAAGGATATGATGACAGAAGAGATAAAAAGCTGGTCACTTCCTTTGCATCCCAGTTTAACAACAGATCAAGACCACATTTCCATTTCAAATGCATTTGGAAAGTGCTTGTCACTCAGGCTTTCAGAGGTCCACCCTCTAAGAGTCACCAAAGGGGTCTGTGCCATACCCAGCTTTGCAGCAGAGTTGGTGAGGGACACAAGGTCCTGCATGCCAGGACTCCCCAGCCAAAGCCCATCCCAGTGCCCCAGCCAGGAGCAGGGCAGCTGGGGGGCACCAGGGCAGCCCCAGCCCCCAGCATCAGGTACCTCCCTGGAGACAAGGACAGGATATTTGCTGGGTTCAGAAGTAAAATCCAGATTTTTCTACAGTACCTGTTCTGAAAGCTGGTTTTCTTGTGACAATATTGCAGTTTTCTAAGAAAGATGCTGGAACTTATGAAGTCATACTGAAGGATGACAGAGGAAAGGACTCCAGTGAGCTAAAGCTAAAGGACACAGGTCAGAGTCTGCATGTTGTCAGCCACACCAGCTGACAGCCTGTCTGAAGTGGGTGCAGGGTAATACAGGCATTGTGCATGTTCCCTTCCTGTGGTTTTGTTCTTCCTGTGTACAAGATCATCTGATTAGAAAAACCGAGATTTCTTCAGTTCAAACAACATTTGAATACAGCTTATTGCATCTGGATTCTGCATAATTTTGGGAGCATACAAGGACTGATGCTAAGCAAAATGAGAACAGGTTTCCTCAGGGGGCCATCAGTAAGTCTACAAGCATAGAAAAAAAATCACAGAACAATTTCACATTTTTATTATGTTTTACCATTTATTTAGGAGCCTTTCCACTGTGATGACTATATTTTTAGCTTTCCACTTGTTTCCAAGCAAGTGGAGAAAACTTGTATGCATTGAATGCACACAGATGGGTTAGCATTCCAACTAAATAGTGTCATTTACCCAAAAAAAATATTAAAAAAATATAGATTTGTTCATCTGTAGCAGTATTCATCAAGGCTACACTTAAAGTCTGGAAACTGTGAAATAAAGACTACATTTGTGCATTACTCAGATTTCTAATATGTTTTGTAAGATATGTCTGATTGCTTTTTCAAACCTTCTGTGGAGAATATTTCAGAGCCAGTACTTGTCCTATTATTGACTGTGCTCGAACTGCAGACATAGAGTCTTAGTCTCTGGATTTTATTTCCACAGCTTTTGCAGACCTGATGAATGAAGTATGCAGAAGGATTGGTAAGCACTTAATTCTCTTTTCGAATGAATGACTCATTGTGACACACAATGAATGGCTGCATGGCTGCATAAAACCATGTGCTCTTCTTTCAGCTTTATCGGCAACAGACCTGAAAATCCAGAGCACAGCTGAGGGTATCAGACTGTACTCCTATGTTACTTATTATGTGGAAGATTTGAGAGTAGGCTGGGTGCACAAGTAAGTACACAAAAGCTTTGCAAAACTCAGTGCTATTTTGTTTTTATAGATTCAGAAAGAACCTGAATATATGAGAGAGATGAGGCCCAAGTTTTGCCTCGTCTCTCATGAGTCCTTATCTCATATGAGTTCATTTCAGTCAATTACATTCACATGAAGCCAGAATGAGAGTTGGGTGTTGGTGGTGCCAGGCCCTTTTGTCATTTCTCTCTTGAAACAGATCACACCAGGAGGACCATGTTGCTTCACAGTGCTTCCATGAACTCCCCAACGGGAGTTGCGTCTTTCCCTGACTCAGTTCTAAGCAGTGATGCAAATGTGACCTAAAAGACTGTCAGGCTTTAAAAGAGGTCAGCACCACGGGTTCAGAGATACCTAGCCTGGAGGCTTGCTTGTCTAGAAGCCACAATTCACAGGAAGTGGGACAAGCAGGCATGTCCTTTTCATGCATGGCTTCATTTTCAGGAGGCAAAGCAAATTCCAGCATGTGCCCAGGGCCGTAAAATCCAGACAGCCTCTCCTAGGAGTACTAAGAACTTAACCAAGACAGACAGAAGAACTAAGATATTAAAAAAAGAATTTGAATGCCCAGCTCCCCATAAAATTAATGGGAGTTGCACATCCAAATCCACAAGACAGCTATGAGTTCTCAGCCCTCACAAACAGCATGCACTGGAAAACCCAAAGAAGTAAACAACTTAGATCACATCAAATCTATTAGTACTATTCTTGCTGTTTAACTTGCTGTGGACATGGTGGTAGTTAGCCTTTAGGATGGAATCTGAATTACTGATATCTCAATAAAACTCATATAAATGAGACACAGAATACTCAGAATGTGGTGTATCAGGCTGGCTGTAATTATTGACACTGATGTTAATCAGCACCCTGTCAGAAAAATGAAAGCAGTTTGAGGCCTTGCTGTTTCTTGGCACCCATCTTGACCTGGTATCATTAAAAGTCCTAAGTATTTCAAGTGTGTGTATGTGAATATGAAATATTCTGGGGATTTTTTTCTCCCTCTCTCTTTCTTTCTCTCCCTCTTTTCTCTATTTAATTTTTAGAAACTTATTTCATCTTGAAGCATGTCAAAGTAATCTAGAAAATATGGTGGTTTTTTCCCTCCAGTACATTGAAAATTATGTCTAAAGATAAAAAGAAAATTAGTATCTTGTTTGACAAATATCTTTTGCCTCATCCAGGGCAATTAACTGCTTAGCTAAGAAGCTAAGAAATCAATTTTTAAATTTTTTTGCTTGTGTGTGTAAGAAGAAATACTTATGTCAAAGTGTGTTTAACTGTAAATACCAAACATAGCAGAGCATCAGAAAACATTCCAATTGGGCAAACACCACTTGTGAACAAAAGTGAGTTTTTTGTAGATACAGCCCTGTATAGTTTTGTTTTGCCCTAACAGAAATAAACCTATACTATAAAGAGAACAGGAACATTTGACAATGCATGGAGTCCCCTTTAGAGATCCAGCTTTTAAATTTGTATAGCTCTTCTATGGCTCAGGTCATAGACTGAGATGCATAACCTTTCTGCAAGCTTTGAGGAGAACTGGACCTTGAACAGGGAAAGACTGTCACACCAGTTCTGCCCAGCTGACCCATGGCTTTAGCAAGGATTTGTCTTCAAAATTTTCAAAATATGATGGCATACCATAGTATCTTGGAAATCATTTCTGCAGATGTACTCAGTGACTCAACATGAGCAAATCCCATTTATACTCCAGTAAAATGGAAAGGTAATGTTGTTTCATATTTTTCAGTGATACCCAGATTAAGTTCACAGACCGAGTGAAGACTGGTGTCACTGGGGAGCAGATCTGGTTGCAGATCAATGAGCCAACTCCACAAGACAAAGGCAAATACATAATGGAGCTCTTTGATGGCAACACAGCACACAAAAAGACAGTGGATCTTTCTGGACAAGGTAGGCCATTCTCTCTGCTACAGACCCATTCCCCTTTGGGGTCTGTGTGTGCACACACCAGTCTGGCTGTGTCTGTGGAGACAGTGCCACTTGTTCTCCCTGACCTGTGTTTTTGGGTCATAAATTACAAATGGCTTTTTCCTATTCCAAATACCCACTTACAGTTTGCCTACTGAGATGTCAGCCCAGTTTCTGAGCTGTCTTACAAAACCCCTTGTGTTGCTGGCATTGATTGGCAGTTTTAAATATCAGTAGTAGCACTGAATGCCTTCTGTATCTCTCCCTTCTAAGTAATATTTGGAGGAGGAAGTGAGGGACAAGTTTGTTCTGTTACTTTCCTACTGTATTTCTTTGATGGATATAACAGAGCTACTTATTCTTCAGAGATGCCAAGACCTTTCAGCAGCATGATGAAGGACTGTTAGCAGAACAACTAAAATTATTTCAATTGACCATTGGAAGCTTTTACTCTGAGAGACCTCTCAGATCCTAGGGAACAGATTAACTCCTTCCAAACTGCTGAGTTTTCATTCCCAGCTGTTCCCATCCCTACAGTTTTACTGTTGGTCTGCAAGCTCTGTGTAAGGGCAATAACCTTACAATTATCTCCATGCTGCTCCTTCTGTACTCTATTTCCACTTTCTGAGAAAAGACATTTCTTCTTCCCTTTCAAAGAAGGAGAGGTTGACCTCCCCCATGACGGCAGCTTAGCCTGAATTTGCAAAGGTGACAACAATTTGCTGTTTGGTTTGTTCACACCCATCAGTGTGGTACTTCAGAGCAGATGGGAAAAGCACTCGGAAAAAACATCTCTCTTGTACTCCCTAAACCAGGGGTCTCTGAAAGTAGAGTGTGTGCAAGATGATCCAGTGCACACCACTGGGGTGTGGGAAGAAAATACAAGACCTTCACTCTAGTACATGTACATAGTCTATAAATAAATATATATATATTGGAAGTGTACAATCAAAAAAATTTTGGATGGGGTGTAGAAGCTAAAAGGTTTGGGAGGTCACTGCCACAATCTATCCTTTAGGTGATGTATTTCTTCCTCTATTTTGTGAAATTACTGCAGTCTACTACTCTCCTGCTCTTTCTCTCAAAGCCTGAATACTAGAAGAAAACAAGTGTATTTATGCATTCATATGTATATATCATATACAAGAAGGCATTTATTAGTTGAACCATTCAGCACTTTAGGTTTTGTACAATATACATGCAAACATCCAGTAATATTTCTTTAATGATGTCTACATTTGAAATTTATTTCTACATTTTGAATTTAAACTTGTGATGATTTATCTCTAAACCCACTCTTTTTTCCCTTTACAAAGCATTTGACGAAGCCTTTGCTGAGTTCCAGAGATTAAAGTAAGTATTGTGCCATGTAAATACAGTAATGGCAGCCATAAAATAGTAACAGTATTTGTTTGGTTTGTGCTGGAGCTAACTACATCTTATGAAACAAATCCTAGTCCTACAGAAGCCTGTAGGAGTTTTGCATGTGACTTGTTTGGTGCAATACTTACATAACAGTTAAGTAACAAAGAAAAAAGCAGTATTGCCAAACGATGAGAAAGATTTTCCTTAATGGATCAAAGGCAGTAAAAAACATAATCTATTTTTCAATCACTCTAAGTAAGATTTAATTGAAATTGCACTTTCTCTTTTTTTCTTTCAACTCCAGGCAAGCTGCGATTGCAGAGAAAAGTAAGTCAGCCTTTGTTGACAATGGTTGCAATAAACTGTTCATGAAGCTTTTCTTCCTCTCCAGGAAGATTGTGTGTTGGGAAGGAGAGGGTGTGTATACATGTGCATGTGTTTGTGCTCATCCTAAAATGAGTTTGTCCTTACACCAGGGAAAAGTAAGTGACCTTTTAGTGATTTAACATTGGTGCACATTGCAGCTAATCACATTATAGTTATGGGTTATGTAGATTTTTCCGTTGTAAGCTCCTGTTACCAGTTAGCCTTCTCTAAAAATTAACTTTATTGCTAAGATCTCTCATGCATGTTCTCTGTACAAAAGTCACTTTGTTTTTGAAGATGGAGGAAATAATTTGGCTAGTTTTTGAATGCTCTAAAATGTCAAATGACTGCATTACATACAGAAATGGGTAAGAAAGCAACAGTAGCTTTTGCATTGCTTAGAATCTCCTCATACTTTTGCCTTTGTGTCAATTCCAACACAGCAACTAAAAGAAAAGTATGTTTAAACTACTTAAGGAGTAAGTCATTGGACTTCAGCTGGAATTATTAAACTCAACATTCTCCCTACTTATAGAAAAGTGCATGGAAAAAGAAATTGTTCCACTGCAGATGCCTTTCAGACCTGTGTAAAAATGAGGGCAGAACTAGCATTCAAAAAGCTATCAGAGAAAATTTTGTAGAGATCTAAGCTAACTCCTCCTGGAGATATACTCCAAACAGAGTGGGGCTTGGATATGTACAGCAATCCCTACATGTCCCAGGTGAGACAGCAGCAATCAGTAATAGCCCTGACCTGGGCATTTCATTTCTAACTCTGGACCATCCATATGGAGCTGGCATGTTAATTGACATAACAGAGTCCCTTTCCTGGTCTCATAAGGTCATTATCTCTGTGCTCCAGAGCACATCTTTCACAGAACACATTAGAAGGGAACATTCTGTACAGTCATTTCCTTCCTCTGCCAAGCTCCACCCAGACATGTAACAAACCAAATCCATATTCCAGAATAAGTGCACTAAAGCTACATGTGATTGGCTTGTTTGTATTTGTGTAAGATTCCTATGTGACTCTGAGCTTAAAACTAGATCAATCAGGTATCTACCTCATTCACACACAGATACATACAAAGTGGGGGAATTTCACTGTTGTCACTGGGACTGAAGTCTGTCTTTGTATTTAGATTAAAACCTAATCTCCAGCACTTAATCAGGTATCATTCATTTCCTTTTAGAAACCCAATGTTTTTAGTTTACTACACTAAAAACTTAAGAGTACCAGACCTCAAAAATTCAAACGTTTCTTGTGCACTCAGAAGTTACACTGAATTGATGTCAAAATCTACAGGACACAGCATACGTACTTTAAGTCCCCTCTGTAAATGATTGACACCAGCTATTAACACATCTTTTGCTGTGAATTCAACATTTTTTAAAGTCCAAATGGTGTGCTAAAAATGCTGACTAGTTCTCTGCCAGCCCAGATATCAGAGACAAGTTGTGCATAAATAAGACAAAAGGAAGGAAAGAACAAGAAGACAAACAGAGTTTGGCACACAATTGATTTTGAGACTCTAAAGAAAATTGTGCTTCTTTATTTCCAGATCGTGCACGGGTACTTGGAGGTTTGCCCGATGTTGTCACCATCCAAGAGGGCAAGGTACAGTAAATTAACTGTAGCTTTACACAACATTCCAGCAGCTTGAATACCTTTCAATGATGGGAAAACGTTCAGCTTCCTTTTTCTTTAAAGTTACCATCTTTAAAATCTGTGACATTATTTATTCATCCCCTGTCTTCTGTACATAATTCAGCAGCCTTGCACAGATGGGTTTATGTATTCAGGGCAGTGTCTTTTCTTAAGAATTAGATAAAAGTGAGATGACAATGTGAGCTGGGACTAAAACTCCTTATATAACCAGCTCTTTAAAAATGTATGCACAGGTTTCACAGATTATTTTTTTTTTTTTGTAGCAGAGCATCAGGAAGTTTAATTCCTTTTTTTCACATGGTAGCTAGTCATTCTATGTCTTTTGCAGTTAACTTCCTTGCAATGTGGTATGGTAGTCACACCTGTCAAGGCTGGCTTTTCAATGATGTAAAAGTAGTAAACCACCATAACTCAATTCTCACCCACACAAAAGGAGAACATTTTCTCTATTTCATCAGGGTAAAGGAGAAGGAAATCAAAATAAGTCACTGGTGTTACACTACATTATATTAGGAGAATTTAGCTGAAATATTATTGTACAGGACTCCCAGAGGAACTTCGATGCTTGAACACAGAACAGATGACCCAGAAAGTCAGTTCTCAATCTCACAACCCTTTCCCAGCACACTGCTTCTACAAGTTGCTTCTTGATAGTACTGAGCCCAAGAAGTGCCTGCTTTTCACTTCCTGCTGCTCTGCCACAAGCCAGTTCCTCTTCAGTGCATGTGAACATTGAAAAAGGGCACGTGAATGTCATTCAAAACCTGTAATGTGACAACTACAGTAAGGCAGCTTCCTGAGATTTCTGGCTCTGTCTGGCAGTAGGTCAGCTGAGTTAAAAGTATTTGATTATAAGCTCAGCAAAAGTGTCAAGAATCTAAAATCTTGTTCCAGACCGCTTAACAATGTGAGGTATAGCATAGCCAACAGATAGTAGATTGCAGCAGTTCTGAAAAAATTAAATAAAGGATAAATAAAGAAATAAAGGATTTAGCAGTTAGGGAAATGCTGTAGAAGTAAGAAGCACTTGTATGAGTATTTAACTGTAGGTAGAAGACACAAAGGAACTGAAGTAATTAGCAGATTCTCAGCTAATCGGTGCTTGTGCTTGGAGATGTAATTCTCATACTGCTTTGGCAGGGGATAAATTGTGGTGATTATTAACACTTTTAAGCTTTTGGCCAAAAGAGAGTTGATAAGAACTTTAGTGTGAGTTCACCAAAGCAAAATGTGTAGTGTTTATAAAAAGGGTTTGTAAAAAATGAGTTGCAAAATCTTACGCAGACACACATTGTCCTTGACAGCAAGGACATTTGTAATGTTTAAATAAATGACTGAAATACTCCCAGAACTCGAGACAAATATCCTTGACCTTATGTTTCTTGATTCAGTAGATGATCATTTTGAGTAGAACAGAGAGAGATCAGCGAAAACATAGACTGTTTGGGTAGTGTTGGCTCATCTGTCTATTGTTTGCATATATGCTGGAGAGAGGGGAATGCTGTTCTCTGTTGTGTAATTCATGCAAATTGCACAATCATCAAGGATTTGGAAAAACAGCAAATGAGGTAGCACAGGACTGGCAACTGGTAACTACCAGTGCAGCCATAACCACAGAGTTACATGAACAGACTGGTATCCCTAGATTGAACTTCCAAGCATATGCATATCTGAAATTTAAACTTAACACCATGACTGTGATGCTATTTCTTAGCTTTTTACATGTGAGCTGAAGGATATGGGTGAGAACGAATGAACCAGTGTTTACCCAGTGTGAGTCAAATAGCATTCCAGATGGCCTAAGAGGCTTCCACTGATAGATATGCTCTTCAGCAGTGTGGTATAATTGGAAAAGGCTAAGTGTCAGTTCATATTAGGGAGGAATTTGAGTTGACAGAGAATACTAGCATAAGTTTTGTGTCCAGCTGGCCAAATTAACCTAAGTGACTGTTTTAATGAAGAGCTGTAAGTCAATAATTGGGCTTTATTTTTAAAAGAAGAGGCTTAGGATTTTGATGTGCACTTTCAGACATAGAAGGAATATATAACATCCTTCTGCCAGCGGTAGGTGTCCTTACAGATAGGCTGGAAGAAGGGAGCAAGTTCCCCTGACCAAGCTGCTTCAGTTCACCCATGAAACCATCCAAGAATGTGAGTGTGTGCTAATATGCAAGAGGAATGGCAATACTTGAAATACAATGATGTATTTCCCTCTGCCACCTGTACTACCCCACCCATGATAATCTGAAGTCAAAGGCAGAAGAGAGAAAATGAGGGGCACAAAGGGTCTGGACTTGCAGCTGTTTGTTGCTCCAAGTACATGTGCTGCAATGCTCCAGGTCCAGGAGTACAGGACACACGTTTTTTACCATGATCAGGATCTCATTGGAATGCAGTGTTATAATCAGGGGTTTCAGTGAGTAATAAAGATATACATGAGACATAATATAATATATTATTATTATATACATATATAAAATTAGTTACAATATCTTGCCCAAAGAATAGAAAATCTGAAACAGGTGCAGTCACAGTGAACAATCACTTCTCCTTGGCTAAGGCTCCATAATTATGGTATTACCATCCAGAAAACCAAAGATCTCACCATCTACATAGTGCACATTAGTAGCTGGAAAATACATTAAAAGAGTTTGGAACATCAAGAGAACCGCTGATGTCAAACAGGAGGTAGTGACGCAAGGTTTAGGAAAATGCAGCTATTTTAAGGAATGATTTAAAAGAAGAAAAGTCATCACTGCTGCTGAAATCTCTTTGAATTAAGGAGTACTGACACCACTTCAAACACCTCAGGTTAGAATGATGCCACTAACAGAGCTATCTAGATATGGACATCAGCTCATTAGCATTGTGGAGTGGCAGCTGGGGCCACTCAGTGCTGATCTCTTGCTTGCTAGAGAATCAGAAGACAATAAAGAAATACTGAGCACCTGAAGGGGCCTATATGCAATGCCTGGCTAAGGCTGAGGGCATGTTTGTATTGAGAGTGATAAGGAAGAGGGGGAAATGTGAAACTTCATGTTTCCCCTTGATTTTCAATAAGATGGACTGATATGGCAATCAAAACCACATTCACACCAGCAGGCTATGAGAGAAGGTAGTCAACAGTCCCACGTGGTCACCAACTGTAGGTGCTGCAGGAAATCAGATAGAAGCCATTTCCACCATGCTGTAACCACCTCTGGCTTGGAATCTGTTCTTCCTTGGGTACCACAAACTATGTGTCATTGATGGAGGAACGACTTCCACCTTTTGTTCTCATTTTGGCCCTTAGGGTATGTGGGATTTATTTATTTGACTTTTATTCTGTTCTCAGAGATACCAAAATCTTTCATTTTTATAGAGGTATCAATTTTTCTATCTGCTCATTTGAACAACCTTCTGGGCATCTCTCTTCTGTCCCATCTTCAATTATCACACTAGCAGACAAGAAGTAGAGAGTCAAATGGAAGATAGCCAGTTAAATAGATTTCTCACTGTAGATCGTTATCATGACAGTCTGTAGGGCCAACAATATGAGTGCTCTTCAGTCGTCTCTATTTTTGACACATTTTTGTAAAGAGCTTTTTTAAAAAAAAAAAAAGGAAGAGAAACTTAATTCAAATCAAATAGAATCTTGTCTATTCCTTATGCATCACTTTGTCCATTCCTAATGAACTACAGAAGACCATTTCTTCTGCAGTAAAAGTTCCTCAATTTCCATTTGAGAAAAAGTTATATTCCCCTTTGAATAGCATTTCAAATTTAAACCAACGTAATATCTAATACATAGATATAAATAAATTCTTTCCGAAATAAAACTCCAGAGAAAGGCCTATGTACACTGAAGTGTCATGTGAGTGTTTTTCACATTTGACTCTCAGTGTGATATTCACTTTTGCATAGTCTTTTGAGAAGATTCTCATGGTGCTGTGACTAGAGGATTGGATCATTTATATGTACCAGTATCTCCCACACATGAATTTCTCAGCTGACAAGAAAAAAAAGGAGACCTGAACATTGTGTGCCCAAGAGACTCACCAGCTTATAGAAGGCAGAATAAGTTGCCAGTGATCTTTCTGACAATGTGATTCTCTGACAGTGAAGATGCTTCCTTCAGTCAGATCGGACGGAATTCAGCCCTTAGGAGCACTACTAACATCAAAGGGAAATACTTATACGAGCACCAAAGAAAGAGTAAAAGCCTGTATTGATTTCAGTTAGAAATAGTTTTACAAGAGTGTGTAAAACAATTCAAGTCTGTTGGAAGAGCTGTCAGGGCATAGTATAAAGGATCCCAAATGAAACAAAATATTCCAGGGACCCTTTGTTCTTAATCATTTAAAGAAGCAGGCACACTTTCTATACTTATGGGATAAATACATAGTGAGCTCAATGTGAACAAATCCATCTGACAGTTCACCAAATTTCATTTCAGGTCTAACACACAAATGTAGATAGTATCTAATTTTATACGAAACAATATGCAGGGAGAAAGCTCTACTAATGATTATGAGAGTAGATAAGAAGGTCCATAAAATATTGAAAGGTTTTAATGGCATTTTTTAATTAAGTTCCTTCTTTTCCTTTATGATACAGAAGACTGACAAAAATTATTGATTACTGATGATGGTATACATCCATTTGCTAAAAGCTGGAAGCTAAATGGGGAGTTGAAATATTTGGAGAGTTAGGCATCAAAAAACACAGCAAATATTTACTGACTTATAATTCCTTTCTACTTTTTCTATAGGCACTTAATCTTTCTTGCACTGTCTGGGGAGATCCTGCCCCAGAGGTCTCATGGCTGAAGAACGAAAAATCATTTGTATCAGATGCCAATTGCATCCTGAAATTTGAATCTGGGAAAAATGTCAGCTTTTCCATTACTAATGTGTCCACACATGACTCTGGGAAATACAGCATTGTGGTGAAGAACAAGTATGGCACAGAGACCAGCGACGTCACTGTAAGTGTGTACATACCTGAGGAAGAGAGAGAGTCTGAGAAAGAAGATAAAACAAAAGCATGAATTTAAGACTAGAAGACGTATGGGGGAGATTTTGGATGATAGGCTGACATAACCTGTGTGTGGAAATGGCTTTCTGCTTTAGCAGGCAGCCTTGGATTTTTCCATTCACTTCACTTTTGCTTCTGATATACTTATTGGTGCCAGGGAAAACAAGGTCTATCCTAGATGTTTTCTTACTGCTAACTCCACAGAACCTAATTGTAGCATTTTACAGCAGGCCAAATGCATACTGTCTGTAAACACAGGTCTGCCATTTGACCCTCTCCCTGGATCACCTGGAAGGAAAGGGTCAAGTATTGTTTCAGTGGAAGCAACTGATGAGGTAGATGGAAAGACCAAAAATGATCGAGGCATTTTTAAGCAGCAGTTAGGATTTGTTCCAATTTTGGTAAAGTAGCATAGATGGAATGTGTTACACCATGGAGAAATTAGTGCTGGTTTTTGTCTATGTTAAGGCCCCTTTGTATTGCTGTGTTAATTTAGAGAGGCCTTAGTATGGGCGTCATTTACATCCCTAAGTATTGTTTAATCTGCCCAAATGGGGTAAAAGTACTGTAACATAAATGAAAATAAGGCTTGGGAGGCCAGGATACTAATATGTGTGTGTGTCTGTAAAAATGTATGAACTCTCCTTTATGTTCACAAATAAACTGAACTCACTTCTTTCCTTCCATCACAAGCTGGTTTCACTGTGCCTTGTTTTACTTGTCACAGCTCTGGTAGTTATGCACAGTATCTTAATGTCTTAATGCTTTCATCACTGTAATTACCTCTAGCTTCCCTTTAGATCCCTGTTAATCTTCACTTTGCTGTTCACCACAACACCACAACGGCATCTCTTCACACCTTTCTGTCCAGACCTTCACTACTTCACATCTCAACAAAGTATTTTTGCAGATTCTGGCACAGGAGTAGTCTCATGCTTTTCAATGGACATTCTCATGAATTGTGATTTAAGGGTGTTAACGTAAGTATTTTGTTAGATCGAGATGTCAGTTAATGTCATTCAACCTTAACACAACATATTTCGTTAAGAGCTTTTAAAGCTACAAAAAGAATCTTCACTAGAACATAGGTAAAAAAGTGTGTTTGGGTTTTTTGTTTGTTTTTTTTAAGATAAAAATGTTTCAGAGAAAAAAACATTTGTCCAGATATTTGAATGCACTTGCATAGATTAAAAACTCCATGTCAGCTATTTTACAAAGCCACGGATTATTATTAGCTGAGGAAAAGCAACACACATATAGGATAGGATTAGAAGTAGTTATCAGGCCAATTGCTACTTAGGAAAGCAATGTCCCATGCCAATAAATCTTTTCATTACTAGTCTCACAACAGCACCATTATTCACACCAAAATCTAAAGAACTAATATATATATTTTCAGCATAAGCATGATCTGTATGCACTTTTCACATACTTTCTTGGGATGGTTTTAGCTACTGTGACTGCAGAAGTAGTGCTGTTTTTTAGGCACCCATTTTGGTGTAGTACTGGCGTTTCTGTGAGGATGCCACTAACTAAGTGTTGTACAGTTAATGCTCACTTAAACCCTCATCTAAGTTTTACTGTCAGCTAACATTAAAGACAAAGTGGAAGCATGAGGGAATTCTTAATGGTTCAGGTAAAAATAGATTCAACATAGTTCTCAATGATGAAAATGCTGATTTTTTCAATTTTAAAATATTTTTTTAAAAATCAGTTTCTATAAAGGGCTAATGATTATGATCTTAATATTTAAAAAGCACAATCCAGATTTAGATCAGATTTATAAACTACCAAAACATGTTACCACATGCCTAACTTTATGCACTAATTCTACGACATGGAACATGTGGTTCAAGGAACATATGAAGTTTATCTAGTATAAATCTTTCTTTCTTTCAGAACAGATTTAACATCACAGGGATTTTTAACATGAAATTATGTAAAAATAATGTGTTTTCAGCGTTAAATGTGAACAGAGTATGCATTCACACAGCCTTATCTCCTAAAATAGTTAAAACTCAAGCATGAAACTTGATGACATTATTGTCATTTTAAGGTTTACATGTGTAATGATGCACATTAATGAATCAATATCTGTTCTAAAAAAAGTTCAGGCTATTTAGACACAAGAGCTCTGTAACAAAGTAACAGAGCTTAATTTTTAAACTTCAAAACATAATCCTGAGAAGATCTGTAATTTGAGATACAGCAAGCTTTCTGAGTTACAAGAACTAATGTAAAAATATTTGCCAATTTTGCTCAGTATGCCAATTCAAAGATGACATGCAGGTCACTTCATCTTTGTCCCAGGACATATAACTTAAAAGCAACAGTGTCACAGCTCTTCCATCCTCCAGAGTGCAAACAAGAATATGACATGCTCTTTGCAATACCTCATAACTGATATTTGTTACTTAGCATATATTTAATAATGATTACATTTTGGCAGCAGTTTATTTCCACTACTTTAGCTTCAAAAATCTGACCTCCTTCCTGCTGGCAGAGCTGCCAGGGAATACAAGTGGGTCAGCTCCCAGGTAACAGGCTGGATTCTACTTCACTTTGCTTCAGCAGATGTATGTGCCCCTGAAAGTTAAGAGTAGTAGCTGCTTCAAAATGTGTTCTTGCCAGGGATTCAGTTATGGTGGTTTCAAACTGCATTTGTGATGCATCCCCAGTTCTTGCTTGTGCACGTTTTGTTCTTGCTTTGCTTCAGGTGATTGTGACGCCTGTGTCAGGGCACACTGACACAGTCCAAGGACACAATCAAAATAATAAAACTGTGTCTAAAAAGAAAAAAACAATGACAGCAAGCAAACGGAAGGAAGGGGAAAAGAAAGGTAAGAGCACTTTCATATTTATGCTATTCTATTTCAATTAAAAAACTGTTAAACATTATGGAGTTAATACTCTGTGCCAATCAATATTTCATAGGTCCCAATCAATCAAGTTTACAGTATGTATGCTCTTAATTAACATCAGATGCAAAGTATGAATTGCCAGGTTAAATCTCAGTGAAAGAGCTTTAAATCAATGTTTTTGAACCACCTTTTCTACTTCCACTGTGAATTCTTGACTCATCAGGCTGATGAAAGTTTTTTAAGTCATAATAACTACATTTAAATTTCTGAATGAGAGGAAAGACTTCCTAAGCATGTATACATACACAGATGGTGTTACTTTTCCAAAGTCAGACTCATTTCAGCAGCTAGACATTTGACACTTCACAAAAAAAACAGGCCTTGTTGATTCAGGCACCCTAAATGCCTAAGTGTTTTAGAGAGCTCTGACTGTATAGCCCCTATTTGATATTAATCTACTATTCTCTCTTAATTTTATGTCCATACCAAATGGTAAAGTTGGAATTATAAGTGTCAATTTTTTGTCCAATTTAGGGAAAAGACTGGAAAAAGCTATCTGGTGATTCAGCATTTACACATTTTTACTGTTCTTTTACACTCTTACTATAGAAATGCTATTTGGACATTCATTTATTATTCACAATTATAACTCTCTCACACAGAGCATTTTAGCTCCAAATAAGTCTTAAATTCCAACATTATCAGAACATCTGTTTTACATATTTTTGCCTAAGTACTTTTTCTTTGTATACAGCATGTATAATTCAGCATTTACACATTTTTACTGTTCTTTTACACTCTTACTATAGAAATGCTATTTGGACATTCATTTATTATTCACAATTATAACTCTCTCACACAGAGCATTTTAGCTCCAAATAAGTCTTAAATTCCAACATTATCAGAACATCTGTTTTACATATTTTTGCCTAAGTACTTTTTCTTTGTATACAGCATGTATAAACATTATATCATTGCTGACAGAACCTTTTATACTCTTATTCCCTTCCCCTTTCTGCTCCTAAGGCAAGAACAAGTATTTTACTGCATTCTTTCCTCTCTTGCTTTACTGGTATGAGTAACCTAGACATTTCTGAGCAGTCCTGTAAACGAGGAGACTTAAGTGGGAAACAATTATTTACATCTGTAAATGTTTTGAAGGATCTGCATCTTAATAATTTTATTTAGAGACAATAAAGACTTGGGCTTGTTTTTGGCTCTGTAGCAAGTAGTAACATTATTTGTGATATTGAATCTCTTTATATGGGTATGGGGAGAGGAAAAGAGCATCATAAGGTCATAACCAATGTGAAAGCAATGTTGCTGAGCATAGTAAATATAAGGGAAATTCTATTACTTCTCCTAAATCAGATTTTATTAAGCAACATGTAGAAGAAATTATTGCTACAGAAGAGACACCTGATCCAAATGAAATTCCTGCTGTGGAAACAGAAAAGGATGTAAAAAGCAAGCAGCAAGCAGCAAAGAAGACTGAAGAAAAGACAGCAGTAGCAGAAATGGTTCCTCAGCCCACAGAAAGCTTGGATAGCCAGGGAAAGAAACCACTGGAAAAAGCAACCTTGGATAAACCCCACTGAACTTGAATGAAGAATGTGATCTTGTCATGATCTGGATAATAAATTCAAGCTGAGACTTCATGAGCGGTATAGTAGCCATAATATTTAACACAGAAGTTTATTAGTGGGGCTTTTTTATAACATTTGTAATACTTCCTAACTTTAAATGCATAGTAGATGGACACTTATGTCTCAGTACCAGGTAGTTGCACTGCAGGAATGTGCAAGTATCTGGACAAAGATCCATGTACTGACAATGTGAATTCAATTCCTAAAAAAGTGTGTGATAAACACAGTTCGTTAGAGCAAATCCTGTACAGGACTGACACATTTACTGCTCTGTACATGAAGGATGGTATCAGTTATGTGTATATTTGTAGGCCATCACAACATGAGGCAGACCCTGCTTGCCTTCTCAATGAAACCATACCTACAGTCCTCTTAATGCCATGTGGGCTCTGCTTTTCACCATGACTAGTTTGGCCACAAGGAAAGATCTCCAGAAACAGAACCATCTCCTACAGATGCAAGGGGGCCATAAGTAGGTTTTCTTTTGGTCCAAGTTTCTTTCGGTCCAAGTTTCTTTCAAGCAAATCTGCTTCATCAGGTGGACCGGGATGACACTTGGCCATTTCTTATCACCAAGACTCAGATGATTGTTTTTCAGTCCTCTGCATTAATTCCCTCGTGACCTTGGTGAGGTACTATGGACATACCATTAACCCACAAAGTATCAGCTGCTCCACATGCTCATTTCTCTCCAGGCTGTTTGCTGCAGCAATCAGATTTGTGCTAACCCCCCTGTTCGACTTCTCCTCAGTGATTCAGCCCAACACTACCCCTTCTCCCACTCACTAGCATCAGGCCCACTGGTTTCTTATAAGAGAGTGTAGCTTCATGGTCCATGTAAATCAGAAATAAATACAAGCCAAGAATCTCTGCTTTAAATCAGTGCTGTGCTCATTCATGTTCATTACTGTGTTAATTCACATGTTTATGTACTGAGGATATAGGAAAATATGACTCATTTGTGGATGCTTAGATACAGTGGAAGAAGCAGAGTTCAAGCTGAAAAACAAACCAATAAAAATAAAGGTCAGAATTAATTTTGTTAATATGCAAGCTGAGTCCCACTTTTAAGTGACCAGAAATTATTAAACAGAAGAAATAAAACCAAAATATTTTAATTACTAGGAAAAAAATTTTTTTATTGATTTCAGCTTTTAGAAGGCTCAAACATTGTGTTGGCTTTTTGCAGATAGATGAATTATTGATGAAAGATTACTGAATTCCACTGGTATTTCTATGTGTTGTATCCATGACAAATGCAGAAGTATTGAAAACACATGAAATAGTTTCAATTCCATCCTTATAGACTTGTTAGCACAAGAAAGCAAAGAATCTCAATAGCATGTAAATGCCCAACAGCTGAGACACTGATGGAAAGAAATCCATATCCTTCCAGTAGAATTCCAATAGGATTCTATTGAACTCTTTTTAAAACCAACAGAAATATTCCTGC